TCTTCAATGGCCAGAGTTTCAAACCACTCCATATATATGTTGGCTATGACTGGTGAAAGTGGCGATCCCATTGGCAGTCCCTCATCTTGTGTAAAGAATTCGTCCTTCAGTTGGAAATAACAGTTTCGTACACAGCATCCTAGTAATTCCATGATTACTTCTATAGGTAGATTCGTTCTCTCTTTCAGGTTCCCATCTTCGGATAGCTTTCTCTGTATGATTTGAAGTGCTTCTTCGACCGGAACGTTGGTGTGAAGGCTTTCCACGTCGAAATTAATCAGTTGATCTTCCTGTGTCATCATCCATCCCATCATCAAGCGAAAAATGGCCAACTCCCGCCAAAACGGTCATCTTCCACGGAACCAGTGAAGCGGAAAATGGAAAGCGGGGGGGATAAGTGAAAGTACTCGAACGACCTATAAATAGTCATCTCTCGGAGGAATCAGTCCAGTCATCACCCGAAGACGATTGTAGATACTAACAATCGAAACGTCGTGAACTGACGTGACTTGGAATCTCTCCACTTTTTATTTTTATTTTGTTTTCTCATTTCTTTATTTTTATTTATTCAATTGTTCTATTTTTACTTGTATTTTATTTCACTATCATTTCATTTCAGGTCTATTTTGGTTGATATAATTGTTATTTTCAGCAATTCATTTTCAATTCTTTTGTTTTAGTTGTTTCAGGGATTTCAAATCATTTTATATAGTAGACAATGGAAGTCCGAACTAGTGAAATTCATCATGAAACATTGTCGATCACCTTCAAACATTTTCAGACCTGATTAAATACAAAAGTCTCAAGAAACTAGTAACGAACGAATTCAATAACATCACGATAAATGATGTTGATGTCTCTCAATAATGAAATATACTTAAACAGTTCTATATTGATAATACCTACCTTGGGACATGGGAGATACCATGTGCAATACAGGACACCAACTTCCGGAACTGTGTCCAAAAAAAGTGACGGAATTGGGATCACCTCCGAAATGTTCGATATTATTTTTGACCCATTTGAGTGCTACCACTTGATCTTTAAATCCATTATTACCCGGAGCGAATTTATCTCCAGTACTCAGAAAGCCTGAAATATTTTGTTGTCAAGTGAAATAAATCAATGTGTTAAAGTGTCTCTGTTACATAATAGTACTCTTTCCAATAACCATGTAATATTTCGAACCGAAAAAACTCATATAATTAATCGATATAATATTACAAATATTGAAAATCAATTATTGGAAACAAATGTATTCTGATATCACACCATGGACAACCGAATTCAGTGATAATTTTTCAGAAAAGTTTTCTAGGACTATAAAGGTTACAGCGTATAATACTGGTTTTCAGCTACTTCAGGTGGACATATATCTCGAGTTTATCTCCGATGACTAGGTGCTAATTACTGTAACTGGAGTAGGTAACTGGGCTTGTTTCATGCTATGGAAAATGATACTGGTTTGCTTGTAGACTGATCGAGTTAGGGGTATATTATACTTATCAAGCCTAATCGGTCCCAAAATCTCTTTATATTTGCAGAAAAAAGAATAATTCGAAAAGCAAGAATTTAAATCTGTTGACCAATAAAATTGATCGTGACCAGAGCGGAGTTGTCAAGTGTATTGGTTTTTAATATCCAATCACAGATCTCATGATCCAATTTGACAGACGCCATTTTTGTTGTTATTGTTGTGAACTCGGTGTGAATACAACTGTTACAATTATCTAATTAAANTGTTACTGAAAGTATGAAACAAAATTAATTGAATTTTCTCAGAAGTTTTTTGTTAGATCAGTTTGAGTACAATCAATTCTGTCTATACTCGACCTCATTCAACCTTCCTCTTAAGTTTTGGAAGATTCAACAGATTACCTAAGCTAGCCTATAAAGCTTGAATTCAGTAGCTATATTATGAAGAGGTATGTATGTAAGATATCGTTTTTTTTCGTAATAAATTGCAGTTGTACAGATTGAGGATTGTGGAATAAATTGAATATTTGATGTGATTCTTCAATCGAGTTTGCTATATTTTTGGATTTTCATAACTGTATATTATTAAATAATGCATAAAATCATAGTTTAGATGAATATTTTTTGATTTATCGACTTTGTGTACTAATTTTAGATACAGAACTTATTTGCAAACATGATTTTTCGTGAAACAAAAAATGTGGAAATCTTCCAAAGAAAGTGTTATAAGAAGTACTGTTTGCAATCTCCAATTAGAAGTTGTATTCTGTACTTACCTAGAGAAGCTAGTCTGTGGTTCAAAATTACTAGAACTATATCCTGATCCATGAAATACTTAGGGCCCACTTGTGTACTAACAGCTCCATTGATGAAAAAACTACCACCAGGAATGTGAACAATTACGGGTCGTTTGGGATTGTTGAAAAAAGTTGGAAGCTGAAAAAACCGATGTTTTTGAGCGACTGCCAAAATGTGTTCATCATATCAAAACCTTTTCTGATGTTGACCATTATTGAGGTTTTCTCTAAAATTACTCCTCACAAGAGTAAATGAATTTCATATACGATTCGGCAACCTGATAAGATTCGATTCTCCAAAGATGTTCGAATGATTAGAAAGATAGATCTGTTTAAAAATCTGTTTTTCCGTTAACTAGTTGTCGCACCACTAGGAATGACAGGCCTGAGAAGTTGAAACTTGTGTGAGCTAAGGATTAACGAGGTCTTACCTTTTAACGTGTGATTCCTAACACGGATTGAACGATAGCTAGTAAAGATCGATCGTTCAGACTAGGTCTTGAACCACCTACCAACACGGCAGTCAATTCGAGTGAGTGAACAAAGTACCCACGTCGAACCGCCTGGCTACCAACCGACGATAGCTGGTTAGATATATTATGATCTTCATTTTCTATTTCAATGTTTTCACAACAATATGCACAAATCAATCAGAACATGGGAAAATGCCCTTGGACAGGGCACCGAAA